CCCCAAAACCCCAAAACCCCAAAACCCCTTAAAACCTAGGAAAATCTGAATTAAATTATTTAATTACCTACAGAACATTATATACGTGCTATATGGAAGCTCTTATTATCGGTATGTAAGGCAGGTCATCTCTAGAGAAAGTTTATGAATCTTATATTGAATCAGAAGGCAACTATTTTAAACCCATCAAGTCGAATCCTACTGGTGCTGCAAGGTAAGTACTTATAGGGAAGAGATGCTACTTTTGTGAAAAAGAGATGCTATTAAATATTTCTAGCGTTAGAAAGGACATTCCGTCCTTTCTTACACATAGATTTAGTATTTTGTGTGTTTACTCAAGGAAAATCCTAATCTTCGTAGATTTAGTAATAGATACAAGACTAGGAATCAATTAGTCAATCGGGATTACATTCATAATAGTGTAAGGATGCTCAGTAATTTCCTTAGTCAGTCTCATCTTTGGATGATACAAAGCAATTGGAGTGAGTCCTTGAAAGAGCAAATAAGCCAAGGAGCATGGTGAAAGCACGCAGAGATATACATAATCAGAACTCTCTTTCGAATGGTAATTTACTCGTGATGCCTTAGGGATTTAAATTATTGCCTTCACCGAACAAAAGGACTACGATCATTTCAAAGTATGCAAACTGAATTCAGGATGTTGATGTCGGTAAGTTCATAAACTCTCAATATCTTCATTCATTCGCAAATCATTAATCAAATTATAGATAAAGGCAAGAATCAGACTGTATTAGACAATGCTAAGGAAGATCTTCTGAAAAATCTTCAAGAAGAAACAACTGCTAAGCATCATGAATATAATACACTTCATAATTCCTTCAATGCTGGGTCAAAACCTCTTTCACCCAGGGAGCATAATTTTCCAGATTCAGTAAGGAATCATCTTGATAATGCAGAACCTAACAAAGGTAAATCATTGTATAATCTAAAACAGATTTGACAGAAAATGCCAAAAATTGATTGTCGAACTTCAGGAAAGCAACTATTTATGACAGATATAACCCCATTAAACGTCATGAGGGACATTGGAGATCAGACCCTAACAGCAGCCGTACTGATTCAGAGCGAAGTTTCATCACTAAGCCAGTGAAAGAAAGTATTTCTAGTTCAAAATATTTCCAAAGTGAGAGCCCCAAAGGATACTCCAAAAGAAAGCAGACTAACCAATGGAAGAATATCCCTGAAATATTTAAGTCTCTCAATCAGGCTGAATACGGGGATATTCCAGGAGATTTTTCTGAAAGCCCAGGCTCAGACAGGAAGAAAATTAGCAAGAACTCTTCTTATGCTGGAAATAAAGACTTAAAACTGAATGCCAACAAGAAAAACACTATGGGGCTTATTAAGCAAATCTTGAAAAATAATCCAAGAGTTGCTGACAAGGATGACAATAAGAAGTTGGATGGAATCATGAGCTCTTTTGTATACTTGAAGGAAGACAAAGATAGTGACCTTGATATGTATTCCTTTGCACCAAATAGACAATTGGTAGTAAATAAGCATCTCAACTCTAAGAGTATTGACTTTATTAACTCAAATCCTGAAGACAAACAGATTTACTCTGGGATCAATCTTTCTAAGTGGATTAACCGCATGAGTACTCTAATTATGTCATATCATATAGAAGATTTGAAGCAAAAGAGGACAGACCAGAAGAGATACAACAATATTAATTTAAAATCTAATATTTATCATTCCAAGAGTAAATCAAAAAGTACATCAGGATTTTTCAAATTTTAGAAAAGCAGAGAATTACTCTCAGCCCGAAGAAAGTTGTCAGAAAGAAGATACATACTCCTAGCGGTATGAGTTTATTTAATTTCTAGATTCCTTTAAGATTGCTCATGCGAAGATACAAAATGAGTATAATAACGAATACTCTAGGTAATATATTAATTTCCTGTTTTCCCACATTTTCATGACACTAATAATGTTTAGACAAACAGATTGCAGGAATAAAAGACTAAAGTCGAATTCAATCAGTCATTTACCCCTAAGAAAGTCTCATTCAAGTAGCGATTCACATGAAATGGCTCAGAAGGAAAGAAACAGGTTAAAGAATCATCAAAATCCTCGCTCTGATTACCCTTCTGTGTTTATCCCTAAAAGGGTTCAGAATGTGATTAACCTGAAGCCCACTCAGAGTCCAGTCAAGCTTCCGAATATAACTATCAACACTAACCTTAAGACAGCTTTAAAGCTGTTATAGTTCGATACAGTACAGTTTGGTATACATTATCAGGACTAGCCCATGGCCCTGAATTTATAGTCTAGGAAGACTTAATAAAGCTTTACTAGTTCTGAAAAATTACCTTATTAGAATAAGAATTCTATATTTTAGTTTGCAAAGGGGTTTTGGGGTTTTGGGGTTTTGGGGTTTTGGGG